CCCCTTGTTTAGATTCAACGAGAGTTGTCTCTTACGTAGGTGAACGAAAATTTGTTAAAATGAAGTAGATGCTTATTCACATCTGTGTACACAAACTGGTATTGGGAGACACTAGGTCAAGTTTCTCAGCACACAGAAAATGACCAGGCCAAGGCAGCACTTATTCGATCCACTCAACATAGTCCTAGCTAGCTTGGGTTCGGCTTTTTAAATCAAATTCAATTAACATAAACAAATGAATACCAATATAACATAAACAAATACTAAGACACGATTAATCAGAATAATTTTAAGCTCGAGCAACTCAACGAATTCATTGTACATTTCAATGGTGATTTGTAGCGGGACGGTTTTATCTACAACTAATGACACATTTTCAGCAAACCCTTCTCTATTCAGGATGATTGAGACTCATCACTACAATGCAATCCATTCCAACTTTACAAAATTCCAACAAACAAACAAACTACAAGAAAATGTGATTGATTAGAAGAAAAAGTATATTATAACAAAAGGACTTCACAAATCACTGTTATTAATGTATTGATGTTCCAATTGAACACAAAATGCCCTCCTCAACTCAAATCCAAACTACATTCACACACCATAAAGCTAAAACAAAAATAATAATAATAATAATAATAATAATAATAATAATAATTTCATACATTACAACGGACTAATTGGCAAAAATTAACATAAATTTGTTACATCTATGTCCACAATCTTAGAGAGAGAGAAGGGGGGGGAAGTGGGGAGAGAGAGAGAGAGATTGGAACCTTGGCGGCGTTGAATGCTTCTTCGGACTTCTTGAGAGTGAAAGTCTTCTTCTTCTCGTCGACTGAGAAGGCCATTTTAACGGGAGGAGGTCTTTGAACCCTATTCACCGTAACCCGCCATTGAAGCTTGATGACTTTCGAAAATCAGACTCTAGAATTTTGGGTTACACTTGAGGACTCTTATCCACCACAGCCACTAGTTATTCCGCCATGTGGATGTGGTGGTTTTTTTTTTTTTTTTTTTTTTTTTTGTTCTTAAAGTCTAATCGGAGAAGACAGTGAGATTTAAGTTGCAGATTTGTGGACTGCATTCAAACCCACACTAACCGTTTAAGCTAGATGCGATTCGTTCAAAATTCACCCACTGCTAACATTTTTTAACTTTAACATGTTAATAATGCTAGAACAACACTAATAACATTTTTAACTTACACCAAGTGCTATATTAATAATGGTAGAACAACATCAATGAACCATGAACTTAATAATGGTAGAACAACATCAATGAACCAGTGTTCTAACGGTAGAAACATGCGTGTATGAGCTACCAACTAAGAAAAAATAAAATAATGTTAGAATAACAAATGAGAGATGGTTAGACATTTTTTTTTTTTTTTTTTTATTTCCATGGAACATTCATTTATTGATCACTTAGTGCCGGTTGGATTATTGTTTGTCTTCATCCGTTTGTTTCTACAGGCACTCGAACCCTCGTTCAATATGGTCATTTGTCTTTACGGGATTCGAACTCGAACCCTCACATAAAAAAGATATCACTAGATTTTTTTTATCAATAAGGAATGAAGAAAGAAAATTGTGTAGTATAATTATAACAGTATGGTAAATGGCCAGGGTGTCCAAGTTTACTTACCAATATTGAAAAGGGTACAGAATTGTGTGGAGGCAAAGGAGAGTAATACCATGCTGATCAAATTGCAAAATGATTTCCAAACAATAATGATACAATCAGCAATAAACATGATACAAGATGTTTAAATAACATGCACTTTAAGCTTCTAATCAAAGGAACTCTATAAATAACGAGTCAATTTAGCCTACTAGAAGGACCACCACTCTAAAGAGGAGGGAAAAACAATCAAATGAGTCGTCAAAGACCAACTGTTTATATTTGCCGGAGCACCGTCTCAGCTGCTTGTATCGTCCGCTGGATATCCTCAGAAGTATGTTTTAAGCCGGTAAACCCAGCCTCGAACTGTGAAGGTGCGAGGTAAACACCTTCCTCCAGCATTCCCCTGTCAGTCTTTTTTGCATTCCCAAAGTTATATACAGGCCCTTCTGTGAAGAAAAAACCGAACATTCCCCTTATATAGCCACTACACATTGCATGTCCAGCCCTCTTCCCAGCATCCACAATTCCCTGAACAAGTTCACTTGTGATTTTGTCCAAGTATTCATAACTTCCGGGCTCTTGCAAACGCTTTAAGTAGCTTACGAAGTATGTGTGTCAATAGTAATATGATCACACTTTTGAGTATTAAGATTGCCTGAAAATGCATAACATCATAATTTTAAAAAATGAGAAGAATAGAACCTCATAACATTGCAAGAATTCGAACAAGTTATGACATTCAACATCAGTGAAGAATGAGATTACACTGAGTATAACAAGTATAACCAATGTGGTATTCAATCCAAAAACGATAAGAAGAAATAATGGCATAACTTGAATCATCTAAGACCATCCATGTTTTTGCCTTTCAGCAATTACACCTAGTCCTTCCGCTTAGGAGCTCACACCGACTTGTTTTAGTAATAACCAAAGAGTTCCACCAAACCGACCTTCTACCCACATTCTCCTCAACCCCCCACCACAACACACACACACAAAAAGTAAATATTTAAACAATTGTAATATGAAAGATAGCATCTTACAATGACCAATTGAGATCCAGGGGAAGGCCCTGGAGTAAGAATATATAGAGTTAACGACCCCCATTTATTGATCTTGACCATCACACCTGTAAATTTTCTCACCAGATGATTCGCTAGATCCAGCACATACACCAGCTTTAACAGTAAATGTTATCAGTGGTTTAAATATCACATACAAATTATTAGTTTATAATGCATTATCAAAATAACACCTACTTAAAGTTAGAAAGTTCTTTCTTGCTAGACAATTTACTATAAATCAATGTCTACAAGTAAGATATGCAACACATTGGTTAAGTTGTGTAGCACATGCTTCTTGACTCGGATAAAAGAGTGCTATTCATGGTTCTTCTATACCTGTAACACCACAAATATGTAGCCACATCCCTAGATCCCCTTGTTTAGATTCAATAAGATTTGTCTCTTACGTAGGTGAACGAAAATTTGTTAAAATGAAGTAGATGCTTATTCACATCTGTGTACACAAACCGGTATTGGGAGACACTAGGTCAAGTTTCTCAGCACACACAAAATGATCAGGCCAAGGCAGCACTTATTCGATCCACGCAACATAGTCCTAGCTAGCTTGGGTTCGGCTTTTTAAATCAAATTCAATTAACACAAACAAATGAATACCAATATAACATGAACAAATACTAAGACACAAATCACACAATTAATCAGAATAATTTTAAGCTCGAGCAACTCAACGAGTTCATTGTATATTTCAATGGTGATTTGTAGCAGGACTGTTTTATCTACAACTAATGACACATTTTCAGCAAACCCTTCTCTATTCAGGATGATTGAGACTCATCACTACAATGTAATCCATTACAACTTTACAAAATTCCAATAAACAAACTACAAGAAAATTTGAGTGATTGGAAAAAAAAAAAAATTATAACAAACGAACTTCACAAATCACAGTTATTAATGTATTGATGTACTTAATTGAACAAAAAAAAAAAAAAAAAATACATATTAATTTCATACAGTACAACGGACTAATTGGCAAAAAGTAACATAAATTTGTTACATCTATGTCTATAATCTTAGAGAGGGAGAGAAATTGGAACCTTGGCGGCGTTGATGGCTTCTTCAGACTTTTGAGAGTGAAAGTCGTCTTCTTCTCGTCGACCAAGAAGGCCATTTTAACAGGAGGAGGTCTCTGAACCCTATTCACCGTAACCCGCCATTGAAGCTTGATGACTTTCGAAATCAGACTCTAGAATTTTGGGTTACACTTGAGGACTCTTATCCACCACGGCCACTAAAGATTATTCCCACCATTTCAGCATTTTTTTTTCCCCTTAAAGTCTAATTGTAAGTTAATGACGGTGAGAATTAAGTTGCAGATTTGGGTAGTGGACGGGATTCAAACCCACACTCACATTTATACATTAGATACACTGGTTCAAAATTCGCCTACTGCTCTACTATTTTTTAACTTACACTTATTGCCATGTTAATAATGATACCAATAACATTTTTAACTTACACTTATTGTCTTTTTAATAATGGTACAATGATATTAATTGTGGTTTAGCGGCACCAGACTTTTATTTTCCACAAGGAGATTAAGACTTTAAGTCTCTGTAGAAGTATATATGTGTTTATCAATTTAAACTTGTTGGAACAACATAGGAGAGGTGGTTTGACTGTTTTTATGGTTGGAGGTTTTTTTTTTTTTTTTTTGGATTTTCATGAAACATTCATTTATTGATCACGCGGTGCCAGTTGGATTATTGGTTTCATTAGTCCAGGAGATGGCTAATTGTACAGGGGGGAAATGTGGAAATCCATTTTATAGTTCAATGATGTATTTTTTTTCCAAAAGAGAGGGAAGACGGATGCTCCTTCCGAAACCATACATGAAAGATTGGAAAGAATTGTTGATAGGAGAGATGACAACGCATCAATAGAGAAAAGGAGGCCTCTGTTAATTTGTCTCTATCCGTTTGTTTGTCTTTTCCTGTTTCTTTCTAGGGGTACTCAACCCCTCACTCAACCATGAGAGGCATATATTTGTCTCTATAGGGAGTCAAACCCTCACCTCTTTCCCGTTTGTTTCTACGGAGACTCGAACAGTCATCTACTATTGGGAAAGGTAAAAAGATATTTTTATTTGTTTTTACGGAAACTCGAACCCTCATCTACTATTATGAAAGGTAGAAGAGATATCAATAGATTTTTTCAGATCAATATTGAATGAAGGAAGAAAATTGTGTTGTATAATTATAACAGTATAGTAAATGGTCAGAGCGCTTTGTCCTCCAAGTTTACTAACCAAAATTGAAAAAGGTACAGAATTGTGTGGAGGCAAAGGAGAGTAATACCATACTGATCAAATTGCAAAATGCTTTTCAAACAATAATGATACAATCAGCAATAAACATGATACAAGATGTTTAAATAACATACACTTTAAGCTTCTTAATCAAAGGAACTCTATAAATAACGAGTCAATTTAGCCTACTAGAAGGACCACCGCTATAAAGAGGAGGGAAAAACAATCAAATGAGTCGTCAAAGACCAACTGTTTATATTTGCCGGAGCACCGTCTCAGCTGCTTCTATCGTCCGCTGGATATCCTCAGAAGTATGTTTTAAGCCGGTAAACCCAGCCTCGAACTGTGAAGGTGCGAAGTAAACACCTTCCTCCAGCATTCCCCTGTAGAACCTTGCAAACTTTGCAGTGTCACTCTTTTTTGCATCCCCAAAGTTATATACAGGTCCTTCTGTGAAGAAAAAACCGAACATTCCCCTTATATAGCCGCCACACATTGCATGTCCAGCCCTCTTCCCAGCATCCACAATGCCCTGAACAAGTTCACTTGTGATTTTGTCCAAGTATTCATAGCTTCCAGGCTCTTGCAAACGCTTTAGTGTGTGGATTCCAGCAGTCATTGCCAATGGGTTTCCACTGAGGGTACCAGCCTGATACATTGGTCCTGCAGGTGCCACCTCCTCCATAATCTCCCTCCTTCCTCCGTATGCACCAACAGGTAGGCCACCACCAATAATCTTCCCAAGTGTTGTTAAATCAGGAGTTATACCAAAATACTCCTGAGCTCCACCATATGACAAACGGAATCCAGTCATAACTTCATCAAATATGAGAAGAGAATCATTTTCTTTGGTGATTTTGCGGAGGGCATTAAGGAAATCAGGTTTGGGTGTAATGAAGCCAGAGTTCCCCACTACAGGTTCAAGGATAATTCCAGCAATCTCCCCCTTGTGCATCTTAAAAAGATTTTCAACATGTGAGATGTCGTTGTACGGGGATGTTAGTGTGTCAATGGTAGCTGCTTTAGGAACACCGGGTGAGTCAGGGAGACCCAGGGTGGCTACTCCACTGCCTGCCTTGACAAGGAATGGATCAGCATGGCCATGGTAGCAACCCTCAAACTTGATGATTTTCGGCCGGCGAGTGAAGGCACGAGCCAAGCGGAGTACACCCATGCAAGCTTCAGTGCCTGAATTGACAAACCGAACCATCTCTATACTTGGAACAGCAGAGATGACCATCTCGGCCAGTACATTTTCAAGAAGACACGGAGCACCAAAGCTAGTGCCCTTTTTCATTGTTTCTGACAAGGCTGCGAGTACCTGCAGATAAATAATGTTAAAGTTTTAAAGGTTTCGAAAATGATAGCAGTTAGCCAATTCAGGGCCTGTTTGTGAGGATCTCAAGAAAGTGGCAAAAAGTAAAGGCTGAATAGACCATTAGGTAAAACCTATCAATTGCAATACAATCCCAGCATGGTTTTGAATTATTATTATTAAATTTTTTTCCTTCTTGGAGTTCAAAAGGGCTGCTAAGTTGGAAATCCCTACTTGATCAAGGCAGCACCTTTTTTTTTTTGACATCTTTATTCAAGAAGCATGTCGGTTATCGAAAATGGACTCTAAATCATTGTCTTAAAAAGCGCCATTTATGCAAGATATGCAGAAAAAGTATCACGACAATTGTAATATGCTCACACTTTTGAGTATCAAGATTGCCTGAAATGCATAACACTACAATATATTACTATGCCAAATTCATAAAAAAATAAAAAATAAATAAAAAAAAAAAAAGAAAAAAAAAAAGGAGGAGAGTAGAACCTCATCATCTGCATGACCAATGATTGCTGGACCCCATGAACCAACATAGTCGATGTACTCATTTCCATCTATGTCCCACATGTGAGAGCCCTTGACAGAATCAATAAAAATAGGCTGTCCACCAACTGATTTGAAAGCACGTACAGGGGAATTTACACCTCCAGGCAACAAATCCTGCCAAAAGTCTTACATGAGTTGACAAGAATTCAAACAAGTTATGCTATTCAAGAACAGTGAAGAATGAGATTACATTAGAGCACAACAAGTATAACCCTTGACACGATTAAATGGATCCATTTAGGGTAGGGGCACCAAAATAGTCATGTCTGTCAATGTCCATCCATTTAATCATCTACAACTATCCATGTTTTGCCTTTCAGCATTTACACCTAGTCCTTCCGCTTACACCGACTTGTCTTATTAATAAGTAAAGAGTTCCAACCAAATCGACCTTTTACCCATTCTCCACAACACATACTCCACCACCAAAAAAAAAAAACCTATTCTTTTTCTCTTTTTTAGTACCTAACTTGTTTAAACAATGTAATATGAAGAACCAATTGAGATCCAGGGGAAGGCCTTGGATCGAGAATAAATAGAGTTAAGGAACACACATTTATTGATCTTGACCATTCCACCTGTAAATTCTCTCAACAGATAAATTCACTAGATCAGAGACCAGCATGAACACTAAATGTTATGAGTTGCTTTGAAATATCATATGCAGATTATAAGTTTATAATGCATTATTAAAATAATACCAAAATAATTAATACCAACTAAAAGTTAGTACATTCTTTATTACTAGACAATTTTACCATAAATCAATGTCTACAAGTAAGATATGCAATACATTGTTCAATTGTGTAGCACATGCTTCTTAACTTGGATAAAAGAGTGCTACATATATATGGTTCTTCTATACCTGTAACACCACAAATATGTAGCCACACCCCTAAATCCCTGTGTTTAGATCAATGAGAGCTGTCTCTTACATGGGTAAACAATTTATTTTAAATCAAATTCAATTGGTCAAGACTCAAAACATGGTGCAATACCGCAATACCATAAGTAACACATAACAATATAACATATACAAATCCTAATTACACAAATGGATATATACCAACATTTAATCAGAATCAGAATAATTTGAAGCTCCATTTGAGCAACTCAACAAATTCCTCATACGTGATTTGTAACAGGACAGTTTTATCTACAACACAAATATGCAGCCACATCCCTAATTCCCAGTGTTTAGATCAATGAGAGCTGTCTCTTAAATAGGTAAACAATTTTTTTTAAATCAAATTCAATTGGTCAAGACTCAAAACATAGTGCAATACCTTAATACCATAAGTAATACATACCAATACAACATATACAAATCCGAATTACACAAATGAATATATATCAACATTTAATCAGAATAATTTGAAGCTCCATTTGAGCAACTCAACAAATTCCTCACACATTTCAATGGTGATTTGTAACGGGACAGTTATATCTACAACAAATGACGCATTTTCAGCAAACCCCTGTAGTCATACAATTCCATCTAACTTTACAAAATTCCAACAAACAAACTAAAAGGAAATGAGATTTGATTAGAACAAAAAGTAGAATTATTATTTTTTTTTTTTATAAGTAAAAAATCACTTCTCAATTGAAGACAGAATATCCTCAATTCACAAAAAGTAAAATTATAACAAAACGACTTCACAAATCACTTCTCAATTGAACACAATATAGCCTCAATTCACATCCAAGCTACATTCACACGCCCATTAACCGAAAACAAAAAACCCTTTTTAATTCCGTAAATTACAACGGAGTAATTGGAAAAATGAACATAAATTTGTTTCATCTATGTCTATAATCTTAGAGAGAGAGAAATTGGGACCTTGGCGGCTTTGAAGGCTTCTTCAGACTTCTTGAGAGTGAAAGTCTTCTTCTTCTCGTCGACTGAGATGACCATTTTCACAGAAGGGGACGACGCACAACGGCGACAAGATCGGGATGAAGATGGGATTGGATTTGTGGGTCTCTGATTCAGTTTGCACGGCCACGATAGCCCTACACCGGCCACCCCTGCTGCCATTGTCTCTCTCTCTTACTTTCTCTCTCTAAAAGTTATCTGAGTCGGATCTTGCAGAAGATAAGAAACCCAACCCCAAAAGCCACAGATATCGCTTATTCTTAAACCTCGTCCCAGTTGATAGATTAGTTGCTTAAATGTCAGCAGAAAAGGCTCAATGAACGGTGGATGATCATCTCAAGCAAATTGTGGGACCGTTAATTTTGTTTTTGGTAATTAACGTGACAGGAGGGATGGGTAAATTTATGCGTATGCATCACAGAAAGAGGAAGGCAAGATACTTCTTAAATTTATTTGGCAAGTAATAAGCACATGTATATACTCGGGTTGACACATAGGGAGGTTTTATTCAATAAATGAAAAGAAGAAAAATAATTAAAAAAGGGGATCAAAATTCAATATTAGACAATTTACCAAAAAAATAAAATCAAGATTAGGCAGCACCATCTTATTGACTGTATCGAAATTTCAATCATGAAAAGAGAAAGAAAACATATAATATGAATTAATTATTTTTTAATCCAAGTTTGAAAACAAAAAATTTCAACAAATTGAGGGCGAAATTTGATGGTCTTTAATTTAAAATAAAGATGCATCCTCCAAATTTGAAAGGTTTGGATATGAAAGAATGTGAATGTTAGTGGAGTGTGACCTCCACTACTGATATTATAATGATGTTATGCAATCAAGCACAGACCTACCTGGTGACCGGGGGGTGAATGCTCCCTCCGATTGATTTTTTTTTTTTTTTTTTTTTTTCCTATTATATTAGACTTTTGTAAAAATATATGCCATGCCCCCTTAAAATTTCACAAATACCACCCAGTCCCCACTATATAAGTTCTCAAAATATATACCATGCCCCAGGCACGGACCTTCCTTGGGATCGGGGGGAGGGGGGGGGGGTATTATACCCTCCCCCCTGGCGAAATTTCACAAATACCCCCCAGTCCCCACTATATAAGTTCTCAAAATATATACCATGCCCCCTCTGTGTTTTAATTGCTAATACAACAACAAAGAAATATATATGATGAAGAATCGAAGATTTGTTGTGTTCTATGTGGTTTCTTTTTCCTCTTAGATATTGATAGGGCAAAATAACCTACCTTAACCAGCCGCCAGACCTCTTCGACATTAGAGATAAAGATTTTCATCGCATAAGAATGATGACATTTCTTATCTAGGATAATGAATGATAACGTGGTTCAACAGGGTGAGGATAATCTTGGCATAATTTGAGAAAGTCAATGGAGCAAAGCATATCCCGGACAAATCTGGCAACAGACGATCTCATCTTATTTCGCACAAGCAAATCTCCCGCAGGACCAATTTGATTACGATCGACAGCCATAAATAGGGCACCAAACTGTTAAAGAAGGTACGAGAAAAAATCCCTAAACAGAATATACATAATTGTTATGTGATACGATTACAAGTACTAACTTAATCGTCGGAGGGTCTTCGGCCAGCACCCCACCGGTGTCATTCGAGGTGACGTCCCTTTGTTTTGCAGGTAAACGCAGTCGTTCCGAGTTGTGAGGATTTCCGCATCAATAGCTGGCGCCGTCTGTGGGAACGATTAGTTCTCTGAAGAAATAATTATCCCGACGCGACTTGGCTCGGACGGCAAGACCAAAGTTTCCGATCATGGAAATCATCCCAAAGTCATCAGTTAACAACGGATTTCCATGTTCTTATATAAGGACGGGACTCTACATCTTGATTACCCGTCCATCATACTGAGGGCAAAACAGTGGGTTGCGTGATGCCACCCAGTGTACGATGACAATAATCAAAATTTGGCACGTCGACCCAGGCCGTCCAATATGGTGTTTTCCATCTAGCGATGCTTGGTCCCATCACTACTGAGGTTTGGTCGTGTAAGACCAAACTCCATCTCATATCGGGTAGTAGCCAATTACCAAGGCCTGATCGTTGAAGACTAAGACCTGGTCCTTTTGCACCTACATAAATAGGTAGGTCTCTACCCATCAAGAAGATCACCACCAACAAGAGGGTCTCTACCTACTAGTAAAGCCTCTACTACTAAGGATGTCTCTAGCAACGGAGTCTCATAACTCCGTCCGTTTGTGCAATCAGGGTGGCCTTCTACACCCAAGAATGTATCGAGGCCTTCAGGTCCAAGGAGTTCAATGTCCCTCAAGATCCCATGAGGTCTGTATTCCCAAGGAGGTTCCTAAGTTAAGGGCGATCATTGGACCTAACGAGGTACTGGCCAACAGACCGTCATCTGTCAACCATTGGGTACCACGCTCCTATCCACCAAGCATCAAGCTAGTCGCTGGACACTAAGCCTCCACCTACCAGACGACAGTCGTCACCTCTCTTCCCTTGCAGGAATTGCCTATCGACTTCAGATTATGCAGAATTTTGAATTGACAATCCATTGCAGGTTAATTTTCAGTAATTCTTTCTAACATAATTTAATATTTTTAGACAAATGTAAATTGTTGCAACACCAGACACCCCGTCTGTTGTATAAACGTCCATAGAATGGGTCATCACCCAAGATCTCAGCATCGGGGATAGAATAGTGGATCACACGATATTGATCGTCGATCTACATATGATGACAAGGTTTAGAAGATTGACGTACCTTGGTGCATCGAGCTAGTCGGGTTTTTAGTCTCTTTCCTTTAGCGACCCCTCGGGGGCACTAGTCGTCTAAGACCAGTCTCAATCCTCCAAAACCATAACCAGATAAGTCTCTACACACTGGGAAGGGTACAACCCTTGGTTATCATACATCAAGGCTTGGTTATCCAAAACCAAGGCCTAGTCAACTAAGATTAAGAATTGATTACCCAAAGTCTACAAAGGCTCGGTCATCCAAGATCAGTGCCCGGTCACCCCAAGTCTGGTCATCAGAGACCAAGACCAGGGCCTAACTGACGAAAGTATGGTCATCAGAGATCAAGACTTAACCTACAAAAGTCAGGTCAAAAAACAATCATCCCCCTCATGTGTTATACCTATGTGGTAATTAATTCCCTTACTAAAGGGACGAGCTGAGTTAAGCTCGTAAAACCTAATTCCCTTACTAAAGGGACGAGCTGAGTAAAGCTCGTAAAATTTATTCCCTTGCTAAAGGGACGGGCTGAATGAATTCCGTAATCAATATCCCCGTACTATAAGGGATGGTAAAGAAATGTCCTGTACTAAAAGAACTCGGGTTGAATGAATCCCGCAATCAATATCCCGTACTATAAGGGATAGTAAATAAATATCATGTACTACAAGGACCCGGGCTGAATGAATCCCGTAATTAATATCCTCGTACTATAAGAGATAGTAAATAAAAATTCCTTACTAAAGGGGACGAACTGAATAAAGCTCGTAAAATTTAATTCCCTTATTAAAGGAGTGACGACCTGAGTAAAGCTCGTCCAATTTATTCCCTTACCAAGGGAAGAGTACCCAAGGGTACCAAAAAGAATACCCAGGGGCAGAGTACCCAAGGGTATAAAAAATAGTACCTAGGGGCAGAGTACCCAAAGGTAATAAAAATAGTACCCAAGGGAAGAGTTCCCAGGGCAAAAATAAAAATAAATAAATAAATAAATAATAATAATCTACTGTTCACATGAACAGTACCCGCGGGGGTACTGTTCCACGGCAAAAAAAAAAACTGTTCACATGAACAGTACCCGCGGGGTACTGTTCCAGGGCAAGAAAAAAAAAAAAACCCTTCTACTGTTCACATGAACAGTATCGCGGGGTACTGTTCCCAGGGCCAAAAAAAAAAAAATTACATTCCCAAAGTTAGACGAGCAAGTTTGGGAATGGGGGGCAACTGATAGGGAAAAATAACCTACCTTAACCAGCCGCCAGACCTCTTCGACATTAGAGATAAAAATTTTCATCGGATAAGAATGATGACATTTCTTATCTAAGATAATGAATGACGACGTGATTCAACAGGATGAGGATAACTTTGGCATAATTTGAGAAAGTCAATGGAGCAAAGCATATTCCCGACAAATCTGGCAACAGACGATCTCCTCTTATCTCGCACAAGCAAATCTCCCACGAGACCAATTTGATTACGATCGACAGCCATAAATAGGGCACCAAGCCGTTAAAGAAGGTACGAGAAAAAACCCCTAAACAGAATATACATAATTATTATGTAATACGATTACAAGTACTAACTTGATCGTCGAAAGGTCCTCGGTCGGCACTCCACCGGTGCCATTCGAGGTGACGTCTCTTTGTTTTGCAGGTAAACGCCGTCGTTCCGAGTCGTGAGGATTTCGGCATCAACAGATATTATTTATTTATTATTACTTTTATTTTTTGTTTGGATTAGGGATTTGATAAGGTCGGTTTATTTCTTTTTAAATCTCTTTGATTCAAATTGATCTAAAGAATTGGACACTTTGGTTGCTGGGATGCTTAACTCTATGCTCATTTAATCACCAGAAAAATGCAACTGATACTGGGAGTCTGGGAGTGTTCAGTGTTGCAACTTGCAAGATTAAGTTCTTTTATACAGGTACGCCCTTTGATTTATTTTTTCTAATAGCAATGCATATGCAATTTCTGAATATTTAATTTCTTTTTTTTTTTTTTTGTTGCAATACATAACAACATAGACGTACAATCTGTTATAATATGCAATTTCTGAATGTCTTTATTTTGTTGCTTAATTATCCAAAAAAAAAAAAAAAAGATGCCCCCCTCACAAAATTTCCTGGGTTCGTCACTGCATGCAATAAGATTTATATCATCTCTCATTTATTCTTTATTATGTATCATTTATTTAAGAATAACAATATTGGCAATGATAAATCCTTCAAATTCATAGAATGTCGAATGAGAAAAAGAAAGGCCTTGCTTAGATTGCATTTATAAAAACAGTTCTCAATAACAGTTTTCAGATAATCATAACAAATAACAGTTTTCAAAGAATCATAACAAATAACAGTTTTCAGTTTTTTTAGATTTCAAACCTGCTTAGTTAAGAGAATTTACAGAAAAGTTTCTGTAAAACAAAAACTAATAAAACTACTTAGTTGTATTTATTGAAAATAGTTTTCTGAACTAAGAAAATAAATAAAAATATTATTGTACCTCACTCTTTTATTTATTTAA